AATATGTTGATTCAAGTGGTGTTGGTTAAACTCATATTAAAATCGATACATCGATCTAGTGATTTGTGTTTCTACTGCAAATATTTACGTGATGGCGCAGTTTGAAGCATCATAGAGGAAGGGGCGTTTTCTAAATCAGAAAAAAAGGCCGGAAGGTATTAGGAGGGGGTGCATTATTTCTATTGGTGATTCGGTCCTTAGATTAATGATACTATAGAATTAAAGTAAAGTTCCCTTTTAAACCCGACGGTCTACGGGACAAGTGAAGTAGAGTTCACTTGTTTCTGTGACCTCGGCATATGAAGGGATAATTTAGTAAACAGCCTTTACTTACCCTTACGTGAGTTAGGTACCCATCAGAGCTGGGTGGACTCAGGGACGGTCTACTGACTTGAACCCGGATTCGAACTAGAGACTTTCGGGCAGACCAGCTCTCTAGCGCTAGGTCACTCCGTCCCATGATCCTATACATGCTTTTTTTTCCAACCCATTTTGGCGCCCCCTAGGGTCGGCGCCCGGGGACATATGTACCCCCCCCCCCCCCCGCTACGCCTCTGCAATTTTACCACCGTCACCTAACCCCCGGGTCCTTACCCCCAGAGGTAAACAGAGTTTCTTCCAGGCATCTCTTCGGGGGGGGCGAAGCCCCCCCCCCCCCGAAAATTTTTTACCGCCCCCCCGAACGAAATGAAATTTATATAATTTATATAGAAAATATATACTTTTAACAGTGTCCGCCCCCCCCCCCCGAAGAAAGTCTACCGCCCCCCCCCCCCGAAAATTTCAAGTTCCCCCCCCCCGGAGAAAAAAGTCTGGAAGAAACACTGGAGGTAAATAACATTTTTATCAGCATGTGGGTCTGCAAGTTTCACCCTGTCAGTTCAACCCCAATTGTTACCCCAGTAGCAAACAAGCCTACAGTCAATTACCCAGCCACCCACTAGAATAAATATTATAACCATGGTATCGGTAGAATGAGAAACCCGGTATTCTATAGACCCTGTGGGGGGGGGGGGGTGTGAATATGAATGGAAAATTATTGACAGAGGGGACCAAACCTGGTCCACCTCATCAATTTATCTTTGGTGCGTGTAGCTAAATAGGTATTAAGTCCTTAAATTTATTCTAAAAAATACCCTCACCATCAAGTTGAAAATAAATTTTTTTTTTTTGTTGTTTTTTTTGCTTTTAGGGCCTATATTGGATGGGAAATTGTTTAGTAAAATGATGTGCGTGAATAACATTCAACAATTAATAACAAATGTCATTTTAACTGTGGTTAAAATATTCGAAAATACGAAAAAGTTTATGGGAGTTCAATCCAACTCTTAAAAAATATTTATGTAGGTTTAGTTGAAGAAATGGTGTATTTAAAGGTCGTTAAGTTATAAAAATTACGTTCTGTAAACCATGACTAGAATTATTCGACCGCTTGAAAAAAAAGTTAGGAAAATTTCTTCAGTCTGCGTTAGTAGGGGAGAGAAGTGATGTTAGTGCCTTACAAATGTTGCCTGAAATCCATAAAAATACTCGAATCGCTAAATAATATTAAATGATTTCTTGCGAGGCGAGAAAATTAAGGTTTAACTCATTTAAATGTTTTTCATATTTTTTTTTATATTGGATTAATAAAATATGCAAATAATACAGTTTTAATAGCACATAAAAATCTCCACGCAAATCGACTACGAACCATACCCATTTCTCCCCATCATAGTCTGAGACCCGAACCAAATAGACTCCTCACCTGGGTCTCAAAGTCAGTCCCAAAATTCCTGTCATAACCCTAGTCCACCCTCCTATCATAATCAAAGATCCATGCCCCAAAAACCGAGTCCCAAAAAACCATCCCCAAGTAGTACATTCAGCAATTTCCAAAACCCAGTCCCCAAACCCAACCCCAATCTCCAGTCCCTAATCACAGTTCCAAAACCCAAATTCCAATTCCTGATCACAGTCCCAAAACTCAGTCCCCAAACCCAACCCCCAGTCCCAATCTCCATTCCCTAATCACAGTCCCCCAAACTCAGTACCCACACCTAACCCCAATCTCCAGTCCCTAAACTCAGTCCCCAAATTCCAGTCCCAAATCTCCAGTCCCTAAACTCAGTCCCCAAATTCCAGTCACTAATCAGTCCCAAAACTCAGTCCCCAAGCCTAACCCCCAGTCCCCAATCTCCAGTTCCTAATCACAGTCCCCAAACTCAGTCCCCAAACCCAACCCCAAATTCCAGTTCCTGATCACAGTCCCCCAAACTCAGTCCCCAAACCCAACCCCCAGTCCCCAATCTCCAGTTCCTAATCACAGTCCCCAAACTCAGTACCCACACCTAGTCCCCAATCTCCAGTCCCAAAACTCAGTCCCCAAGCCTAACCTCCAGACCCCAATCTTTAGTCCCTAATCAAAGTCCCGAAACTCAGTACCCAAACCCAACCCCCAGTCCCCAATCTCCAGTTCCTAATCACAGTCCCCAAACTCAGTACCCACACCTAGTCCCCAATCTCCAGTCCCAAAACTCAGTCCCCAAGCCTAACCTCCAGACCACAAACTTTAGTCCCTAATCAAAGTCCCGAAACTCAGTACCCAAACCCAACCCCCAGTCCCCAATCTCCAGTTCCTAATCACAGTCCCCAAACTCAGTACCCACACCTAGTCCCCAATCTCCAGTCCCAAAACTCAGTCCCCAAGCCTAACCTCCAGACCCCAATCTTTAGTCCCTAATCAAAGTCCCGAAACTCAGTACCCAAACCCAACCCCCAGTCCCCAATCTCCAGTTCCTAATCACAGTCCCCAAACTCAGTACCCACACCTAGTCCCCAATCTCCAGTCCCAAAACTCAGTCCCCAAGGCTAACCTCCAGTCCCCAATCTCCAGTCCCTAAACCCAGTCCCCAAATTCCAGTCACTAATCAGTCCCAAAACTCAGTCCCCAAACCCAATCCCCAGTTCCCAATCTCCAGTCCCTAATCACAGTCCCCAAACTCAGTCCCCAAACCTAAGCCCAAATTCCAGTTCCTGATCACAGTCCCGAAACTCAGTCCCCAAACTCAGTACCCTCTCCTAGTCCCCATTCTCCAGTCCCTAAACCCCAGCTCCAAACCCTAGCCTCGCCTTAGACCCACCAACGTCAGTACCCAACCCGCTTGCTCGTCCCTCGAGTAACTCTCGTCCCCCTCAACTTTCCACACTCAAAGCGTCAGCGTTTTCCACAAAGCGCTAATCAAGAGCTAATCATACCTCTATCACGCGTATATATAGAGTTACGACGGGCAGCTTCTGTACACGTAGATCGAGAATCATGGGTCATGTGACCAGGCTACTCTCGACGACTATTGGCTTGCTGTTACTAGTACGAGGTGAAGCACTTAAGTATTGTTTTCTTTAATATAACATTTAAATATAACAATTAACATATTTAAAATGGAACCGCGTGATCGAAAGTTAGAGCGCACGACAGGTAACATAAAATTCTCTAGGTAGGTTCCTGTGATCGAATCTGTAAGACGTCTTTGTGCCGCGTATCTTAGATGGATACCTGACTCACGTTAAAAATAAAGTAAACAAGGCCTTTGTTTTCCCGCTCCAACACCCAACAAAATGAACGTCGTTTACGTTTTCTTTTTTTACTTTCTCGTATATAAGAAGTATGGAGAAAGTCTTGTAATCGTGCAAAAACAAAAATCGAGATCTTTGTAAATCTCGACGTTTTACAGCTCCCGGAGTCAGAAAACCATAGTTTTGCAATCTTGTCCGTATGTCTCTCTTTGTGTGTGTGTGTGTCTGTAAACACGATAACTTGAATACTGTTACAGCTAGTTTGATGAAATTGTATATATAAGTATTATATCAAAATCATAGATCTGTATCATCTTTTAAGAGATTTCCGATAACCGGGACACTATTATACACATTTTGTTTGGCGTTCACTTGCTGTGCAATTCTTTTTTCTACGAGATTTCATTTTATTTTAAAAAGTTTAAGTATTAAAAATGGATTAAAATGATGTCAATATCCCGAGTTGCCATCCCCTGTTGTTTCATATAAGAATATTCGAGAAAGTTTAGGGGAGATCACTCCCGGTTTATAAAACTTCTAATCTGAAACTTCTAACTATTGTTTGTTATTTTAAATATGGCCTAAATCATAGGTACGAAATCGTCTTATTTTTACTTCAGACTTAATTTTAGCGGTCAGCAGATTATCTTAACTCTGTAGTCGGGTGATTAAGTTTTTACTCTTGCTTAGCGCTTTTCCTAACTTGTTTTGTTCGAAACGTACTTACGAAATTACACTCACTTCTACTGAGCCGATTTCTTTCAAACTTGGCTCGTTAAAACAATATTGTTAAGTTTAAATAAAGCGGGAGTGATCTAGCCTAACATTTCTCGAATATTCTAAGGTATAACTTATAGGGATTGCAAATCCAGTACAGTCAGGTTATAGACATTTAAATAAATCGAATTTTCAAATACTTCCTCTGTAGTTCGTAAAAGCGAAAGTAAAAATTATGTCACACATTTATCGGTGCATAAATCAAACGTATATATATATATATAAATATAAATATATATATATATATATATATATATATATATATATATATAAATAAATAACTAAATAAATATATATATATATATATATATATGTATATATATATATATATATGTGTGTGTGTGTGTGTGTGTTAATTTATCTAAGTAAATCAGCAGAAAGGATTTAAATTCAAAACACATAATCACAAATAAAAATAGATACTAATAGGGTTACTTATTAAAAAAAACAATACTGACTAAACAAATCTGACTTAGTGAGTAACTCATGACAATCAATAAGGCAGTGGAAGTAGAGTTAAACGTTTCTGTGACCTACGCAACTGGCCAGTTCTAAGCCAATCAAAATTTGATTTTCCTGAGACTAGTCAGAAACTATTCGAGTCAGGTAAGTCGGGGACATCCTATAAGCGACCTAACTCGGATCTTTAAGGTTTACTGTCGGAAGCGCTAACGACCGAACAGCCCTAAACATATAAAACAAGCTACGTAAAATTCTTTTACCAACAGACAAAAAAAAAATTCTTTCCAGAAATACCTGAAGTAGAAACAACTGACAACCTTCATTCAACAAAGCAGGATATTCGTTTTACCACCTCGTCATTGGAAAAGGCAAGGACACAACGACCGAGCAACGCAACAATAAGCACCACCGACGTAACATTAACAAGGATAGATAACAGGCTATGTAGGACGGTGACAATTGTTACCAAATATACGACATGCGAGGCTGTACCAAACAAGACTACAGATCACCCGGATGTAACAGGTCAAACGCCCTCTGAACCGACATCATCCTCACAAAAAATAACCTCTCGTGGCGTGGCAACAACCCCTGGAGTGACTTCCTCCCCTGGAATGACTTCTTCTCCTGAAGTGACTTCCTCCCCTGGAGTGACTTCCTCCCCTGGAGTGACTTCCTCTCCTGGAGTGACTTCCTCTCCTGTAGTGTCTTCCTCTCCTGGAGTGACTTCCTCTCCTGGAGTGACTTCCTCCCCTGGAGTGACTTCCTCTCCTAGAGTGACTTCCTCTCCTGTAATGACTTCCTCTCCTGGAATGACTTCCTCTCCTGGCGTGACTTCTTCTCCTGGAGTGACTTCCTCTCCTGGAGTGACTTCCTCTCCTGGAGTGACTTCTTCTCCTGGCGTTACTTCCTCTCCTAGAGTGACTTCCTCTCCTGGAGTGACTTCCTCTCCTGGAGTGACTTCCTCTCCTGGAGTGACTTCCTCTCATGGAGTGACTTCCTCTCCTGGCGTTACTTCCTCCCCTGGACTGACTTCCTCCCCTGGAATGACTTCTTCTCCTGGAGTGACTTCCTCTCCTGGAGTGACTTCCTCCCCTGGAATGACTTTTTCCCCTGGAGTGACTTCCTCTCCTGGAGTGACTTCCTCCCCAGGAGTGACTTCCTCTCCTGGCGTTACATCCTCCCATGGAGTGACTTCCTCTCCTGGAGTGACTTCCTCTCCTGGAGTGATTTCCTCCCCGGGCGTTACTTCCTCTCCTGGCGTGACTTCCTCTCCTGGAGTGACTTCCTCCCCTGGAGTGACTTCCTCTCCTGGAGTGACTTCCTCTCATGGAGTGACTTCCTCTCCTGGCGTTACTTCCTCCCCTGGACTGACTTCCTCCCCTGGAATGACTTCTTCTCCTGGAGTGACTTCCTCTCCTGGAGTGACTTCCTCCCCTGGAATGACTTTTTCCCCTGGAGTGACTTCCTCTCCTGGAGTGACATCCTCTCCTGGCGTTACTTCCTCCGCTAGAGTGACTTCTTCTCCTGGAGTGACTTCCTCCCCTGGAGTGACTTCCTCACCTGGAGTGACTTCCTCCACTGGAGTGACTTCCTCCCCTGGAGTGACTTCTTCTCCTGGAGTAACTTCCTCTCCTGGAGTGAATTCCTCCCCAGGAGTGACTTCCTCTCCTGGCGTTACATCCTCCCATGGAGTGACTTCCTCTCCTGGAGTGACTTCCTCTCCTGGAGTGACTTCCTCCCCGGGCGTTACTTCCTCTCCTGGCGTGACTTCCTCCCCTGGAGTGACTTCCTCTCCTGGAGTGACTTCCTCCCCAGGAGTGACCTCATCTACTGGCGTTACATCCTCCCTTGGAGTGACTTCCTCTCCTCGAGTGACTTCCTCTCCTGGAGTGACTTCCTCCCCTGGAGTGACTTCCTCTCCTGGAGTGACTTCCTCTCATGAAGTGACTTCCTCTCCTGGCGTTACTTCCTCCCCTGGACTGACTTCCTCCCCTGGAATGACTTCTTCTCCTGGAGTGACTTCCTCTCCTGGAGTGACTTCCTCCCCTGGAATGACTTTTTCCCCTGGAGTGACTTCCTCTCCTGGAGTGACTTCCTCCCTAGAAGTGACTTCCTCTCCTGGCGTTACATCCTCCCATGGAGTGACTTCCTCCCCTGGAGTGACTTCCTCTCCTGGAGTGACTTCCTCCCCAGGAGTGACTTCCTCTCCTGGCGTTACATCCTCCCATGGAGTGACTTCCTCTCCTGGAGTGACTTCCTCTCCTGAAGTGACTTCCTCCCCAGGAGTGACTTCCTCTGCTGGAGTGACTTCCTCTCCTGGAGTGACTTCCTCCCCAGGAGTGACTTCTTCTCCTGGCGTTACATCCTCCCCTGGAGTGACTTCCTCCCCTGGAATGACTTCTTCTCCTGGAGTGACTTCCTCTCCTGGAATGACTTCCTCTCCAGGAGTTACTTCCTCTCCTGGAGTGACTTCCTCCCCTGGAGTGACTTCCTCCCCTGGAGTGACTTCCTCCCCTGGAATGACTTCCTCTCCTGGAGTGACTTCCTCCCCTGGAGTGACTTCTTCTCCTGGAGAGACTTCCTCTCCTGCAGTGACTTCCTCTCCTGGAGTGACTTCCTCCCCAGGAGTGACTTCCTCTCCTAGCGTGACTTCCTCCCCTGGAGTGACTTCCTCTGCAGGAGTGACTTCCTCCCCTGGAGTGACTTCCTCCCCAGGAGTGACTTCCTCTCCTGGCGTTACATCCTCCCATGGAGTGACTTCCTCTCCTGGAGTGACTTCCTCTCCTGGAGTGACTTCCTCCCCGGGCGTTACTTCCTCTCCTGGCGTGACTTCCTCCCCTGGAGTGAATTCCTCTCCTGGAGTGACTTCCTCCCCTGGAGTGACTTCTTCTCCTGGCGTTACTTCCTCTCCTAGAGTGACTTCCTCTCCTGGAGTGACTTCATCTCCAGGAGTTACTTCCTCTCCAGGAGTGACTTCCTCCCCTGGAGTGACTTCTTCTCCTGGAGTGACTTCCTCCCCTGGAGTGACTTCTTCTCCTGGCGTTACTTCCTCTCCTAGAGTGCCTTCCTCCCCAGGAGTTACTTCCTCTCCTGGCGTTACATCCTCCCCTGGAGTGACTTCCTCTCCTGGAGTGACTTCCTCTCCTGGAGTGACTTCCTCCCCGGGCGTTACTTCCTCTCCTGGCGTGACTTCCTCCCCTGGAGTGACTTCCTCCCCTGGAGTGACTTCCTCTCCTGGAGTGACTTCCTCTCATGGAGTGACTTCCTCTCCTGGACTGACTTCCTCCCCTGGAATGACTTCTTCTCCTGGAGTGACTTCCTCTCCTGGAGTGACTTCCTCCCCTGGAATGACTTTTTCCCCTGGAGTGACTTCCTCTCCTGGAGTGACTTCCTCCCCAGGAGTGACTTCCTCTCCTGGCGTTACATCCTCCCATGGAGTGACTTCCTCTCCTGGAGTGACTTCCTCTCCTGGAGTGATTTCCTCCCCGGGCGTTACTTCCTCTCCTGGCGTGACTTCCTCTCCTGGAGTGACTTCCTCCCCTGGAGTGACTTCCTCTCCTGGAGTGACTTCCTCTCATGGAGTGACTTCCTCTCCTGGCGTTACTTCCTCCCCTGGACTGACTTCCTCCCCTGGAATGACTTCTTCTCCTGGAGTGACTTCCTCTCCTGGAGTGACTTCCTCCCCTGGAATGACTTTTTCCCCTGGAGTGACTTCCTCTCCTGGAGTGACATCCTCTCCTGGCGTTACTTCCTCCGCTAGAGTGACTTCTTCTCCTGGAGTGACTTCCTCCCCTGGAGTGACTTCCTCACCTGGAGTGACTTCCTCCACTGGAGTGACTTCCTCCCCTGGAGTGACTTCTTCTCCTGGAGTAACTTCCTCTCCTGGAGTGAATTCCTCCCCAGGAGTGACTTCCTCTCCTGGCGTTACATCCTCCCATGGAGTGACTTCCTCTCCTGGAGTGACTTCCTCTCCTGGAGTGACTTCCTCCCCGGGCGTTACTTCCTCTCCTGGCGTGACTTCCTCCCCTGGAGTGACTTCCTCTCCTGGAGTGACTTCCTCCCCAGGAGTGACCTCATCTACTGGCGTTACATCCTCCCTTGGAGTGACTTCCTCTCCTCGAGTGACTTCCTCTCCTGGCGTGACTTCCTCCCCTGGAGTGACTTCCTCCCCTGGAGTGACTTCCTCTCCTGGAGTGACTTCCTCTCATGAAGTGACTTCCTCTCCTGGCGTTACTTCCTCCCCTGGACTGACTTCCTCCCCTGGAATGACTTCTTCTCCTGGAGTGACTTCCTCTCCTGGAGTGACTTCCTCCCCTGGAATGACTTTTTCCCCTGGAGTGACTTCCTCTCCTGGAGTGACTTCCTCCCTAGAAGTGACTTCCTCTCCTGGCGTTACATCCTCCCATGGAGTGACTTCCTCCCCTGGAGTGACTTCCTCTCCTGGAGTGACTTCCTCCCCAGGAGTGACTTCCTCTCCTGGCGTTACATCCTCCCATGGAGTGACTTCCTCTCCTGGAGTGACTTCCTCTCCTGAAGTGACTTCCTCCCCAGGAGTGACTTCCTCTGCTGGAGTGACTTCCTCTCCTGGAGTGACTTCCTCCCCAGGAGTGACTTCTTCTCCTGGCGTTACATCCTCCCCTGGAGTGACTTCCTCCCCTGGAATGACTTCTTCTCCTGGAGTGACTTCCTCTCCTGGAATGACTTCCTCTCCAGGAGTTACTTCCTCTTCTGGAGTGACTTCCTCCCCTGGAGTGACTTCCTCCCCTGGAGTGACTTCCTCCCCTGGAATGACTTCCTCTCCTGGAGTGACTTCCTCCCCTGGAGTGACTTCTTCTCCTGGAGAGACTTCCTCTCCTGCAGTGACTTCCTCTCCTGGAGTGACTTCCTCCCCAGGAGTGACTTCCTCTCCTAGCGTGACTTCCTCCCCTGGAGTGACTTCCGCTCCAGGAGTGACTTCCTCCCCTGGAGTGACTTCCTCCCCAGGAGTGACTTCCTCTCCTGGCGTTACATCCTCCCATGGAGTGACTTCCTCTCCTGGAGTGACTTCCTCTCCTGGAGTGACTTCCTCCCCGGGCGTTACTTCCTCTCCTGGCGTGACTTCCTCCCCTGGAGTGAATTCCTCTCCTGGAGTGACTTCCTCCCCTGGAGTGACTTCTTCTCCTGGCGTTACTTCCTCTCCTAGAGTGACTTCCTCTCCTGGAGTGACTTCATCTCCAGGAG